CCAAGAGGGAAGCTCTAGACTTTTAGTAATTTTAACAATATTTTATAAGTCTTAATACCACTAAGTTACGGCTTAAAGTGCCGATTTTCTTTGTGAAAGTTTTCGTGGACAAAGGCCTTTAACAATCAACAACATCATTTTGAGAAAAGAAAAAGTATAAACATCTGTTCATTTAATTGGATAATTTATTGAACGTTTAAACACATTGTCAAGAATTACTTTAATGAGATCAGTAATGCAGAATTGAGATAACTAAATGAAACATGCTTTACGTGCCTTTTTTAAAGCAAATGTTTTTATTATTTCAGTGAAGTCAATTCTCCCCGCAAGTTCGCTCTCAATACTGAGGACGGCTAGGTCATTCAGTCTCTCCTGTGTCCTGTCTTGATGAGCTTTAGTTTGTCGAAAGATCTCTCACCAGTGCTACTGTAACTGGCAATGTGCAGAATATTCGCAGTGCAATACATATATTTGGAAAAAAGCCATCTAATTTGTACCTTTTTATTGTTTTTAAAAGTTGATATGGCGCCATATCTTTACCAAAGTTTGATGCATGTATTGGCTTAAGGTGCCACGTTTCCACTTGCAAAGATTCTGAGAGATCGTCTGAGTATTTGTCCACTAATCTTGCGCATGCAAGTTTGAGTTCCTCTTCTGTCATGCTTCGATATTGCCACAGAACGCAGAACAATCTATTAATGGTGTTTGCAGTGTCAAACCGCTTTGAGTCAATCACCGAATCAATGACAAAGAAGACATTCCGTTTGAATTCAGATTCAGGCTCATCAGAGCCATCACAAGGATTTTCTAGAACGTTCTCCCCTTGTTCATCCTCCTCCTCAATGACAATAACTCTTGCTCTTTTTTAACTTTCCGTTTTGATGGAGGATGGGGTTCAATTTCGATTTCCTCAGCAGCCAGTTTCGCTTTATTTAAAATTTGTGGCCACTTTCCACGTAGATCATCAAGATCGGTCAAGAGCGACTCTGAATTTGAGACCTCTACATCCACTGTAGCATCTCTTACCTGGATGATCTGATTTCTCCTGTCGATCTGTACGAGAATCTTCAGCCACATCGATGACATGAGGATGCAAATGAAGGATGACACGTATTTGATTACACCATTGACTTCATTAATGGTTTTTGGCATGAGGTTGAGAGACAGAAGTTTCTTTAGCACGAGTCGTATTTCAACAAGATGAGCTGTAAATGGTCTCACACTTGCCACTCGGTCTGTCCAACGAGTACCTGACAAAGCTTGGAAGGATTCGTCCACATGCTCCTTGAAAATAGCCCAGCGCAGAGAACTGGATGAAAACAAATTGTAAACTGTTTGCACTACTCCAAAAAATGTAACCGCCTCTGTGCAACATGATGCAGAATCTACTACATATAAGATTAGTGTATGGCAGGCACATGGAGAAGAAATGCACGATGGATTAACAGCAAGTATGTGCTGTTGGGTACCATTGTACTTACAAGACATGTTGGGAGCGTTATCATAACCATGTCCACGACAATTTTTAATAGGTATCCGAAAATGCTTGAGTGTTTCCATAATCAGGCTTGCTAATTCAGCCCCCGTCTTCTTACAACAATGAACTAAGGTTAAAAATCGTTCTTGAACTGCAAATTTGGTATCATCCTTGGCCAAATAACGAAAGATGAACGTTGCTTGCTCCACGTGTTTTTCTGGTCTATGGCTTAAGAGTGTGCAAATTTTTAAAATAGTCGAGTTTAAAGGTGGAGCATTTTATGGGTAGTTGCCCCCTCGGCTCCCCCTGTCAGTGGGCCTGAGTACAACTTACAATAACAATTATTACAAATAGTTACTACAAACAATGATTTATAAACAGAAGTTTCACAAACTTACAAATAATATAAAGTTTTCTTTCTAGTCTGGAACCTCCTTGATATCTTATCGAGGATTCATGAGCGAGTTAATTAAGAGTTGATGTAGAGATGAA